CCCCAAAACCCCAAAACCCCAAAACCCCAAAACCCCTCAATACTTTATATTTAATCCTTTTTGACTTATATAAATGTAAATGTAAAAGTGAAATTTGCAAAGTGATTTTATTTTTTCATAAAACTTTCTATATTGAAACCAAGAATTGATGAATAATTTTCATATTTTTGCCTTTTTGGTAGTCTTTTTAGTTTTAAGTTTTTCAGCCAGTTCAATTTCATCTATGTTTAAAGTTTTCTAAGCGTTTTCTTCAGTAGGCCTTTTCACACTTTTGGATTGAATTTTCTTTTTTTTAGATTTTTTTACTGTTTTCCTCATTTTAGTTATCTTTAATTTTTCCTCTTCTGGTATCAATAAGCTTGCTCTATACATCACATCATCAATTACTTGTTACGAATAGGTCCCATATATCCTTGTTAAAGGATTTTTATCAACTAAATCTAGCACAGCTATCATACTTGCTTGACCAATGTCACCCATTATACTAGCATTGAACTTGACAGATGGTATTTGTTGATCATTGTTCCCAGTATACTTGGATAAATCTTCAAAATATTGCTTGTATATTTTAGAATTTTAGTCAAGTATTGGATCTGCTTCATTGATAAATTTATTAGTTGTCGTATCTAGTCTCTTATTAAGCTTGTTTAATTTAATTCCACAAGCATAATTGCATTCCATTGTGTATGAGTAAATAAGATTTCCACAATCCTTATGGATTGCAACTCTTCCAGCTCCCTCTCTTGTTTTCAGATCTTTAGTTTATTATTAATTTTTGTCCTTCTTTGTCATTAGTTTCTCAGTAAAATTTGATTCCTCAAAATCAAAGTTCATAGTATTCATGGAAATAAGTTTTGGGAACATCATTGACTTTACTTGATAATCGAATTCCTCAAAATGATTACCGTATATAAAACAACCTCTTTTACCTGCATGAGCATGGAGATCCATATACAAATATAACCCATTCTTCAATTCATCAAATGATGCATTATTAAAAAGTTTCTCCTCAAATAAGTCCTTTGGTCATTAATCATAGATACTTTTTATTATGGACTTTGCTGCAAAGATAGACGGCTACAAATCTGGACTTGGATTATCATAAAATCAATTCAAGTTATTGCCCAAAGTATCAAATCTGTAATGGCCCCTGGCAACTCCATCTGGATTGAGCATTGGAATAATTTTGACTACAAAATGATTTAGTAAAGCTAAGTTGCAAGGATTCTCATCATCAGATAAGAAATCAAGTATTCCATTTAGTACATGGCTAGAGGGTACTTCACCAGGATGCACTCTAGCAGACAAAAATATAGTAGGTTTAGTTGCCTTATAAGGCCTACAGTCATTTGTCAATGCTGTTGGAAACAGTTTATCGATCTTAGGCTCTCATTGAAAAGTCAGATTTTTAAAGGAGGTGAAGGTTAGTAAATCTATCCTCCTTCCATCGAGAGAAGTGTTTGCTAATTCTCTAACAAAATAAATCCTCGTACTAGATTGAAGCTTTCTCTCAAGACTGGATAATTTAGCTTAGCACTCTTAATAGCTAAATGGCTCACAAAATGCAAAGTAAGTTTACTCAATAGAATCATTTTAAAAGAAATGCGTCCAGGTTATCTCAAAATGTTCCTTGCTAAATTTTTAGTGAATAACATCACATTGGATGGGCAACCATTTTGTCTAGCTTCGAGGCAAAACTCTATAAAACGGTTTCATACCATACTAGAATAATTTCTGCTAATTCATCATGTTTTTAATAGTGAACATTAATAAAGTATCTCTTGGAACACCTTATACATTAAAATGAAACCAAGCTCTATTCATAATAAAAATTTAAGAAATCTTTTTGAAAATACCTGTATGTTGGGGCTTGGACAACTTCATAAGCATCATCACATATATACAAATCAAACTTCAGAATTTTATTCTATAATGGAGGAGGATTTAATTTTGATGCTGATCAAATTATTACCTAATTCAAGTTATCTGGATTAGGCACAACATCCATAAGGTTTCCAGAGTCAAATTCACTGCTGAATATTATTGTATCAAACCTGAAACTATTCCAAGCCACTGGAATATTTTTATTTCCATCACTACCTCTATATCTTAAATTTCAAATTGACTAAGAGTAATAGTTCATACATTCTCTCCATGAATTATTAAAATTTAGATTAATTTTATCTCAATATTGTTTCTAGATATTAAAAATTGGGGTTTTGGGGTTTTGGGGTTTTGGGG